TGTGTGTAGATCCACCCTGAGAGGAGATATGGTAGCCATCTTCAAATAACTCAAGGGATGTCACACAGAAGAGGGAACAAGCTTGCTGGGTGACATGGCCAAGTGATTCCCAGGAAGCTTCTGATTATAGCCCCATGAGACTCTGGATCCTCAGGGCTTGTAGGTTCGAGCCCCACATTGGGCAAAAGATTCCTGCATTGCGGGGGCTGGGCTAGATGATGTCATGGTCCCTTCTAACTCTGATTACTCAATAACCTTATAAACCTGGGGTGGGACTGCAGCTCGGGAACAGAGAAGATGCTTTGCATACAGAAGATATTAGGCATCGCCAATGGAAAGGAGTGGGAAGCAGGTCACAGGAGAGGCCTGCTTGAGTTCTTGGAGAGCTGCTGTCCGTCTGAGTTGGCCACGGACAGCATGGTGGCCTTCAGATGTTTTTGAATTGCAGCTCCCATCATTCCTGACAATTGTCAATGCTTGCTGAGACTGATGGGAGTTGTAGTCCAACAGCACCCCGAAGGCAGCGCATAGGGTACCCCTGGAGCAGGAAATAGTGGGTTAAATGAGCAAGTAGTCCGACTTGGTATAAATCAGATTTCTAATGACTGCTGTAGTCTAGGCAATAGCAGATCTAGCTGCTATCAAGACGAACCTGTCTTATATTTGGGATCACGCCTCTGTGACCTTCAGCATACCCACTTCAAGCTTTAGGTAGATGAAATGTACAGATGGAAGAATTTTTTATTTTTTTTAAAGTCAAACAACTGCCTGGGTGAATTGTATTGCATTTTAATTTACAGTATTGACTTGGAAAAACAACAGTGCCTCTTGCTTTCTTTTTCCTTAGGCTAGAACGCTTAAAATACCTGCTTTTTAAATGACATTCTTGAGTTCCATATCCTGATATTGTTCAGGGGGGGTTGGTGCACTAGTAACAGGTATGTTGCCCTGAAGATCCTAGAAAATGGATATTGGCCAATAAGCTCGTTTGTGCAAAACTCAAAATGAAAATTCAATGTCCTGTGGGGGGGGGGGGATTGCTTGCTCAGTTACAAGGAAAGCTTTGAAAAAATGCACCTCATCGGAAAGGTAGATCTAGTGCACCGATGTGAGATTGCCGTGATGCAAATAGGACAGAAGTGGAAACCGTGGAAACGGCGAGATGGGGGAACATTGTGAGCGAGGTCTTGAGGGTGTGCATAGCGGGATCAGATTGTACAAGACTAAATATCACTAGGGAACCTACAGCTGCTGGTGGTTCCTGTGACTCACAGAGCCACGGACAAAGGGTGAACGTGCGCTCGCGATGTCTTGAGGGAGGAAAACAAGCTGTGGCTACGGGTGGAATCACTCGTGACATTTCCATGCATGAAGGGGAATTTGATGGAAGCAGATAAGCTAACAGTGCTGCTGTTATTATAAACACTCTTGAGAACATTATTCAGACAAAGATGCAGGTTTGTGGTGCTGTAGGCCACTAGGAAATGGTTGAACTGTAGAGTCATACTATGTTCCAGAGACTCCTGGGGTTTCTCAGGAAGATCACCTGTGATTTTTTGGCCAAGAGGTCAATAATTTATTTTTACTACAGTGGTACCTTTGGTTGCGAACGGAATCCATTCCGGAGCCCTGTCCTCAACCTGAGCAGAACGCAACCAGTGTCTGTGGGTTGCGATTCGCTGCTTCTGTGCATGCGCATTATGTCATTTTGAGTGTCTGCGCATGCACGAGCGGCGAAACCCGCAAGTAACCCGTTCCGTTACTTCCGGGTCGCCGCGGGACGCAACCTGAAAACACTCAACCTGAAGCGTCTTTAACCCAAGGTATGACTGCATTTGTTAAATGTGTGTATTACCCTTCATCCGAAGATCACAGGGGCAGTTCACAACGAAAAAATGCAAAATGAGAACACAAAACACATAATAAAACAAAAAACTCCCCTCCCACAAACACGTTTAATCGGCCCAAGGCAACATTTTCGCCTGGAGCCTAAAGATGGTGCCAGGTGAGCCTCCCTGGGGAGAGCATTCCACAGACAGGGAGCCACCACAGAAAAGGCCTGTTCTCATCTTCCCGCCTTCCAGGCCTCTCCTCTTGGGGCACACAAAGAAGGGCCTCAGATGATGCTTCCAGGTCAGTTCGCATGGGGAGAGTTGGTCCTTGTGGAATAAGTAGAAACCTCTATAAATGTGGAATAAGTAGGAATCTCTATGGAGGTGAAGAGCTAGAAATTTAAATTGGTTTTTAGGTAATTTCTCATATCACCATGGCACCAGTCTTAAGCTGAAGCTTTTATTTTTCACGACAAAAAACCTTATTGGAGTCTGTTCTTCCAAGTTACTTAATTGGATTTAATAATTGCATTCTGTGCTGTGGGAGGGCGTGGGAATTCTGGAGAGCAACCAAGCAAAGCATAGACTGCATACATGGCATTTTTATTCTTGTTTCCTCTTTGAGCTGCTCTCCATGAATCCAGAGTTAGAAACGTTATTATTCTGACTGATGCAAGGTCAGCCCCAAACAGGTTGCTGCCTGAGACAAAAATGTCAGAAGCTGACTGTACTGCCAGATGAATCTTACAGCAATATTGGTGAAGGGAAGGTGTTCTCTGCTCACTGAGGGAGGGGCGGGGGGAGTGCACCGCCCCATCACCATCAGGGAAGGGGGTACCATCGTGGCCACCTCCTGGACCACGCACCCCCCACCATGCCGGGTGCCATGCCCCACAGGCCAGCGTACCACACCCCTGGGATGCGCTCCAGCCACACCCCCGCCTGCTTTCGGCCCTCGGTGCTGAACCATGCAGCTTTGCCACTGCTCCTGCTGCACCCAAGACTAGCTTAGGTGACTGAGGGCAGGCTGCGTGGTGCATGCAGTGCTCTCGTCCAACAGGGATGAACAGCTGAGGAGGAAAAGCTGGGAGGCTTTTGCTATTGGCTCATCTGCCTCCTGGGGCATGCATTCTGCCTAATAAGGTGGTCACGTTAAGTGTAATTGGTTTAATTCACACAGAAATGGAAAATGTCATATGCATTAATAAAGGTTTAAAATGGGGGTAATTCTATTGCTAACATTGGTTAACAATAAGTTTCTAAAGGATTCCCTGTTGGTTTTTTGTCTACTCTGTGCTGAGAGTGAAGATATTGCGTTGCAAATTCGCCATCTTGAAAGGTGGTGGCTGTTAGTCTTTCTCCGAATACCTCAGAGAACAAAAGCATGTGATAATAGCTCTCCAAAAAGAGCTGCTTAGCCTTAGGCAGGCTGGGATGGGGCGGGACAGAGGGAGACACCATTTTGATTTTGGAATTACTTCCTATTTTCTAAGATGCTGAGCCTGTGCTGGACAGCACACAGAACATTGTATGGGTATTTTTTTAAAAGTTTGAATAGTATTTTTCTGGGCCTGGGCAATGATTTAGTCCAAAAGGAGTCGGTTCTTACGCTTCCAGTCGCTTTAAACTGTGCAATATTAATATCTGCAACAGGCCAGCCCTGCTTGTATGCCAGAGAAAAAGTGCCTGGTTGGGATTCCCATGGTCCACACAGTGCCTGCTCCCAGTTTGAGCTGACAACTGGGGAAAGAGCCCTTCTTCAAAGCAGGGAGGGGATGTTGCTGCAGCGCAGCTCCCATCATCCTTGACCATTGGCTGTGCTGATGGAAGTTAGACTCCAACCCCATAGGTTCCTCGCCTCAGACATAAAGGAAAATTCCATCTGGGAGGAAAGTGGTTGTTAGCAGAGCACTGCGTAAACGCTATACTTATTTCTCAGCTTTCCTTTCAAGGGCACACTCTGCTGTAAGGAATAATAGCAAGATGGATCGACAAGTGCGACTTTAACATTCGTGGACGAGGTTCCATTTGCAAAGCTGGCGTTTAAGGCGAAGGTCGCCGCCGAATGAGTGCAATCATTGCAAACAGTGGTGCGCTCAGAAACTTGAGGCATATTGTTCCAGGGGAAGAGTGTTTGAGTCAGGCAGTGGGCAGAATAAAATAAAAGTACAAGTGCTAGAAAGGTTGACGCGGGCCGAGAGTTATTCACTATTGTAGAGAAGCTGGAACGTCATCGCCTGCCATGAGTAAGAAATTATGGAGCGTGAGAATGGTGAAGGTAGAAGAACGGAAGAGGGGAAGTCTCAGTCGGCTTGATAGGGCCCATGGGCAACCTAGTGAGGAATAAGAGTCTGAGGCAAGAGGGAATAAATAGTGCCTAATTCTCATTGAAGTGAATTATGTGTGTGTGGACTGTATCAGGTCAGATTGTCACATGAGGGATCATATCTGAATGCGCTTTCTTTCTTTAAAAAAGTTGAAAAGTCTTCACATGGAAAATTAGATGTCAATGGAAATTTAGTTGTGTCCCAACATGGGCATGTTCCATGCTCAAGCTAATACAGTAGAACCTTGGTTCCCAAACTTAATCCGTTCTGGAAGTCCGTTTGACTCCCAAAACCAAGGCGTGGCTTCTGATTGGCTGCAGGAGCTTCCTGCAGCCAATTGGATGCCACAAGAGCCACGCCGGATGTTCAGCTCCCAAAGAATGTTCGAAAACTGGAACAATCACTTCCAATTTTCGATCGGGAGCCAGAATGTTTGGCTCCCAAAGCGTTTGGAAGCTGAGGTTCCACTGTAATAATAATATTACCTTCATCTTGATCGGCAACTTAGACTCAGGGGAGCCAATTTGGGCCCCAGGTTATGGGTGCCCAGTGTGGTACTGGAAGTCAGGTTCCGACGTCTTAGAAGGCCTCAGAAAGCATCTCTGATGCCTCAGAGATGCTGTCCGAGGCCCTGCAAGACCTCGGATGTTGCGTGGGGGCCCTGCGGTGTGGGTGCCCCTGCTTAGACGTCTGTTATTCATGTGTGTGGGAAAGGAGTGAAGGACCTATGGATTCCACCCAGAACTAAGGTTTATTAAAAGTCTTTGGCTTTATGAATGACCAACCTGGAGGCTTCTGGTGGATGTAGGATGTAAATTCAGTTTTCTTTTTCTTTCCCTAGATCATTTTGTCTGTGATCTTTGAGAGCGGACTGACTGAAAATAGAAACTTGACAGATGCCTGTTCCACTGCCACCACCTGCTCCTCCTCTTCCACCATCTCTTTCTGGAGGAGCCCCACCACCAGCACCTCCTCCTCCTCCTCCTCTTCCGCCATCTTTCTCTGCAGCTCCACCACCACCTCCTCCTCCTCCTCTACCTTCTTGTTCTGGAGGTCCACCACCTGCCCCGCCTCCACCTCCCCTTCCATCACCTTCTTCTGGATGTCCACCACCACCACCACCACCTCCTGCCTCTTTTTCATCATCTTCCGGAGGTCCACCATCACTGCCATCTTCATGCCCTTTGGTAAGGCTCATCTTTCAATTTTTTCCCTTGATTGTGATTGCAACATTGCGGTCTCACAATTAAAATTCTGTTTTGGACTTAGAAACTTAGCTACAAAGTCCTCGGTTTAAAATGTCTTATCGGTAGGTGTTATTCAAATACAGGTGGTTGTTTTTTTAATGAGAAAAATTAACTAGTCTTGAATGCCTAGACATTCTTCTGTTTATTGCAGATTTCTCCATCCACTTGGTTGTCACCATTCCCAATGTTACAATGAGTCTGTTGACATAATCCGTAGCTTGGTCGGTAGAGCATGAGACTCTTAATCTCAAAGTCATGGGTTTGAACCCCGCGTTGGGTGAGAGATTCCTGCATTGCAGGGGGTTGGACTAGATGACCCTCAATTCTACAAGTCTGTGCTTCTGTCAAAACATGGTTGCGAAGGCAGAGAAACGCAGGAAGATTCTTTACATTGTGACAGGCCACTAGTCCATCTAGCTTCAGTATTGTTTATATAAACCGACTGGCAGCTGCAATTATTATTTATTAAATTTCTATACAGTTGTACCTCAGGTTACATATGCTTTAGGTTAGAGACTCCGCTAACCCAGAAATAGTGCTTCAGGTTAAGAACTTTGCTTCAGGATGAGAACAGAAATCGTGCTCTGGCGGCGCGGCAGCAGTGGGAGGCCCCATTAGCTAAAGTGGTGCTTCAGGTTAAGAACAGTTTCAGGTTAAGAACAGACCTCCGGAACGAATTAAGTACTTAACCTGAGGTACCACTGTACCACCTTTCATCCAAGGATCATAGGGCAGTTTCTGGTTGGGTGTCTCCCAGCCTGACCTGGAGTTCCGAGACATCATCTGCTTGCGAGGCACATGGTCCTTCCATGGCACATTGTGCTTCCTAATATCCTAACTTCAGAGGCTGTAGCGCTGCCATATGTCTGCAACCAGACATTGCCGGAATTTCTGAAAATCAGTGAAAACGTTCGGGGCAACATATGTCGGAAGTGTTTCTTTTTCCCTTTAAAAAGTGCTAATTTCCCTCCCTTAAAATAGCTCAAAAACTCCTCAAAAACTTTTGTGTCCAGATTTTCATTTTTTGAAATATGGCAACCTCTAGGAGGTTTTTATTTCTTCATTTGCACAGAGAATTTATAGGCCTTGGTGTCTGTATCACGCACCTGCTAAGATTACCCAGCTGTTACTGCAGCTGCTAGGTTTTCTGAGGAAACTGGAATGAAGCTTAAGGAATGTAAATGGAATGAGTCCTCACGTATGCACTTCCTGTCCTGCAGTTGTAGCAACTGTCCAAGATGTTTGCATATTGTCCATTCTGTTTTCTGCATCGTTTGATCACCTCCACCTGTTGGGAACAGTATTCCCCCCCCCCCCTAGTATTGTGGGTGCTATTTGTTAAAAAAAGGTTTACCTGAATACAGTATTCTTTTTTGACAAAGCCATTTCTGCCACTTCCGGTTAGAGACTCACGTTAGGCCTTTTAATAATATAAATGATACAAATACAGCAAATTGTGAATACGCACACATACTCACACTTCCTAGAGAGTAATTGGATACAGCGGGACTTCTTTATAAACAAACATTTATAGGATCAGACTACTGATTGAGGGATTAATGGACTAAGACTCATATGATAAACCATCTAACACTTTTTGAATTGAATGGCATAATCATAAAACTGAGTCCCATTTTCTTTAACTGGGGATTAGGAGATCGGTGCCTTCCTGCTTCCTGTGATTAGTAGAATTTGAATTTGAATAGAAGCCCACTTGAATAATTTGCACATAGGACTCTGTTCACAGAATATAGCTTTTCAAAGCAGAACATTCTGGGGTTTTTTTAAACAGCCAAATTTATTCTGCCTTTCTACTAAGCAATTAATGTTTTTCTTAGGATACTTCACTAGATTGTATTAAATCCGACATATATTAAATCACCTAAGTGAATTCAATAGGACTGTTCTTGCTTAATTGTTGTCACCTCTATTTAAATAAAAACACCTCTCTGTGCTTAACTAGGGTTGTGGGAATTTAACATGGAGTCTGGCATCTGATGTAGGAGTGAGAATAAAAGAGAAAATTGTATTGGGTATCACGAAGGATATTACATAAATTGCTTTGTGGATTTTTAAAAAAACCTTTAACACTATTTTTCACTGGGAGGGGCTGGCATTGAATTTCAATACACTAAGCTGTCTGGAAAATTACTGCAAGCTCTTGCATTTGAAGCAGGTGTTCTGTTATTCTGTCTGATACTATTGCAATGAGAAACAATTTTCTTGAAGACATCCTTGCAGGCAGATGGTGGCAACGGTGTAAATAAGGGGGGAGATACTTATTTATGAACTTCCTGCGACTGCACTGTTTCAAACACTAGAAGATGCTTCTTTGACAAATCCAAAATAATTAATGCTTTTCTCGAATAACAATCCATTCACATTGCTGTCAGTGCTGAAACAGAATCCTCTTTTAAGAATAAAAATAATATCACAACCTTTATCCCTATCTCCATGTGCTTGGGAGTAAACCTGGTTGAATGCAATAGGGCTTACTTCTGAGTCAGCGTTGTGCTGGGTGGAAAACGCAGACAAATTTGAAGCAATCTCAATTTATTTTGTCTGCAGACTGATGCAAGCTCGCAAATGTGTGAATGTCTGCTGCTCTTTACACTCCATTACTGCATTATTTACTGTTAATTAATTAAAAGCAAAGTTAATTAATGGCCTGTCCTTTGACAAAAGACACCAGGGCAGTTTTCAACAGCACAAAAAAATACAACATGAGTTAATTAAAACAGTCAAAGTTAAAAACAACAACAACATCTTGCCTCTTTTAGATAACTCCTGAGTGACTGACCTGGGCGGATAGCCAGCTTCCTCTCCTACCCAGAACATAATTTCCAAAGCCTAGCTCTAGACCTGAGGTCTATGTAAAAGTTAGGCTCTAGGCCCAGGGGTGCGGAGCTCATTGGACTACAACAGCCATTATCCCTGACCACAGACCATGCTGGCTGAGGTCTTTGGGAGCTGGAGTCTATCAACATCTGGAAGCTACAGGGTCCCCCCCCCCGTGGGGTTCTGGGGGTGAAATCTGCCAGAGGCAGGTGTGGTCTGAAACAAGGGGTCCTTTGCACAGCCACCTGTACCCACAAAATCCTCCTTAGAACCTGGAATCCTGATGGTGCATAGTTCTCGGTCACACAGAAGTGTCCATCCATCGCTAGGGTTGGGTGATATATTGGTACCTTATCCAAAAACCAGTCCATATTATGAAATCAGTTTCATCATTTTTGACCTGGCAATACATCGTGAATCATGTTGCATGTGTGTGTGCTATGCAAAAAAAATCACAATGTGGGACAATCTATGAAGCCAGCCAATACCTCTACATAGCTCCGTCCTTATTTCAGACATTGTATTATATTAGTATATTGCAATATTTAGCTGGTGATATCCTCCTTCTTCTTTGGTGATCACTTGTAGCTGAGTAAGATTGTCTTCCATGAACACGGTCTTAGCGATTTGTCCGTAAGTGACTGTGGAGGCCAAATCTGGACCCACACGTCCTTCCACAGTGGGGACATGGGTTTCCAGGCGGGAGCTGATCACGGTGAGGGTTTGCCAAGTGTGCCTTCCTCTTAGCATGTTTCTCCCTTTCATCCTGAGTTTGAGCGTCTTCAAAGCCCAGGACACCTTTGGTAAAGGCTGTTCTCCAACTGGAGCGCTCGCAGGCCAGTGTTTCCCAGTTGTCAGTGTTTATACTACATTTTTAAAGATTTGCCTTGAGAGAGTCTTTGAACCTCTTTTGTTGACCACCAACATTACGCTTACTATTTTAAAATTCAGAATAGAGTAGTTGCTTCGGAAGACCATAATCAGGCATCCGCACAACATGACCGAAGTTGATGTTAAAAGCTGGTGATATATTATGAAGTTGAAAACCAGATATTGCCCAGTCCTACTGTTCACTTTTACATAGTTCCATCCTTATTTCAGACATTGTGATATATTGTGATACGTTGTGATGTTTAGCTGGTATCGGTATATTGCAATGTTGAAAACCAGGTATCGCCCAGTCTTAGCAGTTGCACTCTTCGCTTGAAAACCAGGGGGTTTTTTGGTGCCTTCCCATACCATTGATGAATACAAGAGCATGAACACTCAAATGGAGTTAGAATGTGTTGGGTGGCTGTTCTGATCCGCTGGCCGGCAGGAGGGCTTGTAGGGATGGTTGGGTGCAGGGATACCAAAGGAGGGTGCCAACAACAGGAGAATGGCCCTTTCTAGTGCTTTATTCAAGAAGGCGTAGACTTGCGGCAAAGCATTCCACCAGTTCTCCTAGCCTTTGCAGAAGCAGGATGGACACTGCAGCAAGGAGACAGCTTGTCTGCACCCAAGCAGATGTACAGATGTTCTCTATGCACAAAGCAGCTTATGTCATTTTGTCTAGGACTTCCCATCACTTCACCTGCCCGGAAGAGGACATAGGTGGCCAATACCCAGTTCTTACAGATAGCTCCCTTTTCTGGGCTCAGAGCCCAGCACCCCAAGCCCCACAGATAAGGGTAACATCAAACCAAGCCAATTAGCGTGTTATCAACGCAAATGAATGCAAACATACGTGAAGCATTCCCTCAGCAATCCAACAGTGGCCTTACTCCCTCTCTGCCCAAAATTTATGTAAGTTTTTCATAGCTTCTATTTTTTTAAACACACACACACACATTTTTGGGAGCAAAGATACTGTGTGGTAAAAAATAGAATAACCCTCTCTGCTGAACAGTCAGCCTATTAAATATATGACTCATTCCATCTCGTTTTAAAAAGGAAAGGAAAGAGGGAGGTGCAACACTCCTTATCTAACCTGACATTTCTTATATGCGAAAGAGTAGAAATTCTCCTAGCTTGACAAGGTAAACGTAGAGCCAAGTGAACATGTTCTAATTTAATAAGCCTGGGTCATAGGAACTAATGTTATCCTGATCTACCAGAGCAAT